TCCCTCCCTCCCTCCCTTCCCATTCCACCAAAAGAAGAGTCCTACTGGATCAGCCTAGCGGTCCATCTAATAGGTTTGCCAGCTCTGGCCTGAGAAATACCTGGAGAAGATCTGGGGGGGTGGAGCCTGTGGAAGGCGGGGTTTAGGGATGAGAAGGACCTCAGCAGGGTATAAAGCCATAGAGCCCACCCTCCAAACCTGCCATTTTCTCCATGGGAACTGACCTTGGCCGCCTGGAGGTCAATTGCAATAGCAGGAGATCGCCAGGTGCCACCTGAGGGCGGAAACTCCACCGTCTAATCCAGCATCTGTCTCACACAGTGGCCAGCCAGTTACTCAGGAGTTGGGTGGCCAGGTCCTACCTGGCTGCCAGCGGGGGACTCCCGAGCTCTCCTGTCATTCTTCTGGTGTCATTGTGCTTCCGACGTTGGGGGCAATGCTCTAGGTTTTGGTCAAAACTCTATGGTTTTGGGGGCCTCAAAACCATAGAGTTTTGCTCAAAATCTAGAGCGTCGCCCCCAACGTCTGAAACACAATGAAGTCACTCCCATGTGACATCATCACATTGGCGCCAGCAGTGCTGGGAGGGGATTCTCAGGGGTAGCACTTCCCCTATCAGCCAACTGGGTCACGGTGGATTGGGGCCCCCGAAATAGGGGAATCCCCTGGCCCCACCAGGGGAATGGCAACCCGACTCAGGAGGGCCTACAACAACATAGCACGGAGGCCAAGCCCTTCCCCTGATGCTGCCTCCTACCCAGGGCTTTTTTTGTAGAAGAAGCCCAGCAGGAACTCATTAGCACCCCCAACTGCAGAAATTCATTTGCTTATTAGGACACACCCCTGACAGCACAGCTCATTAGCACATTAGGCCACACACCCCATGTTACCAGAAGTGTGGTCATCCAGCCACACCCACCTTTTGCTTCTTATTCTGTTTACCTTGTTTGTTGTCAAAACCCAGGGCTTTTTTTGGAGCAGGAACTCCTTTGCATGTTAGGCCACACACCCCTAATGTAGCCAGTCCTAATGAGTTTCTGCTGTTGGGTGTGGCCTGTTATGCTAATGAGTTCCTGCTGGGTGTGGCCATCTTGGGAGCCAGCCGGAACTCCGTTCCCATGCGTTCCTGCCCAAAAATAGCCCTGCTCCTACAACTGTGTTTCGGAAGTTTAGTCACCATGGTTAGTAGCCACTGATAGACCCCAACATCCCTTACCCTTCAGAATATGAAGGCGAATACTTTTCTCTTTTCCAGACACATCACAGGTATAAAGGCCTTCCTTTGCTTCTGGCATCTGTAAGGAGAAATCACCCTTCTCTGTACCTTTGAATTTATGCTCTTGGCGAACTGTGAAGAAAACAGAAATATAAGGAAGTGAGTCACCTTAGGAGAAAGAATGGATACCTCTCCCATGTGCTTGGATAAGTGTGGCATGGTATAATTTGGTTTTACCTTTCCAAGGTTTCCCATTTGTGTATTTAAGAACTTCTACCCCATTGTATTTCCAGAACCCAGTGCCCTGATTTTGGTTTGGAAAGACATCAGGACAGGAAAGGGTGACAGGATCGCCCTCAAGGGAATAAACAGATTGTTCTGCAGCCACGGGAAGCAGCCCTCCTGAAAGACAGACAGGTGAAAAAAAATGAAAGAACAAATAACATGGATTGAATATTATCTCCCCTTTAGAACCCTGTGGATTTCCAGGCCCTTCGCCATTATACAATACTACGTGACACTACACTGTACTACACTATACCATCTCTCTGTTTCATGTTTCTTTTATTTTCTTATACACTTGAATTTTTGTTTTCATTTCCTCTCACTTAAAAATTAGGGGTTTTTTCCCCCAGAAGGTCCAGCACACAAAAAAGTTTCTTGCCACTGGGCAATGCATTTGTTTCAATGGACTCTAGAGAAAAGAGGAACAAGCAGCTTGGATAGTTGTGTGAGCAGTTGAAGAGCGCTGTGCATGGATCCAGTCTCAGCATCCTGCAGCCTTTCTCACAGTCCACATTCAGAGTCCTAGTAAAAAAAAAAGATCATCCCCACAAGATGGGTTTAACATAATATAGTACTGGGAGTGGGGACTGAGGCTCAAACTACATATTATCAGCCCCCGTCACACTGGGGGGAAAGGCACCGACAAAGCGCGGTTTTTTTGAGCCGCACCAAAAGAGATGCGCGGCGGCGGGATCAGACAGATCCCCCAAGCCACCGCACAGTTGCTCCCCGGCACGATCAGATGCTGGGGGGGGGGAACCATGGCACGGAGAGCGAGGCAGCCGGCTGCGCATGTGCGCGCATGCGCAGTTTGGCCGGGAGCCTTGCATGCTGCGGGAGACAGGCACGCCGGCAATCCCACGGCCGCCCTTCCTGTGGATTTTCAGGTAGGTAGTACTCTTTTCTAGGGTTTTTTTTTGATGCGCGGTTTCGCACGGAAAGGACGGATCGGGGACGGGTGCGCTCCGCTTCCCAGATGTTGCGGTGTGATCGCACCCATTTGATGCACCCCTGATCCGTCCCTCTTGCGGGGCAAAACCTCCCGTGTGACCGGGGCCATCGTTGCAGATTTGTTTGTTCATACCCAGGTCACACATCACATTGATCTGCTTCCACACATTGTTAGATATTACACATATGACCTACCTAGCTGCACCCATGTATTGTTGGCTATTGCACACATCACATTTAGTTTCGTCCATACATTGTTGGCTATTGTACTTGTCACATCAATCTGCCTCCATACATTGTTCGATATTGTACATGTTACATCTGGCGGCTTTCACACATCGTTGGATATCGTTGGAGGAGAAGAAGAGTTGGATTTATACTCCATCCTTCACTCAGAGTGGTTTACAGAGTGGTTTACAATCACCTTCCCTTCGTCTCCATGCAACAGATACCCTGTGAGGTAGGTGGGGCTGAGAGAGCTGAGGAACTGCTCTTGAGAGAACAGCACTGAGAGAGCTGTGACTGACCCAAGGTCATCCAGCCAGGTGCAAGTGGAGGAGTGGGGAATCAAACCCGGTTGTCCAGATTAGAGTCAGCCACTCTTAACCACTACACCAAACTGGCTCTCCAAAGTAGATACAAACACACCCCATCTGAAGTCTGACTGAGATCCCCAGGGGCTCAAACCAGGCACGACCCAACAAGCTGACCAGGTCTCCCACTCATGCATTTTCCCTAAGAGAATCTCCCCATGAGAGCTGTTTGGAGACACAATGGGGGGAAAGGCGACACCCGTATTGTACCTATCTTTCCCCCCACTGGGTTATAACAACAACTTGGGAATGATTTCTCTTGGGCAAATGGTACAGGAGTAAAAAGTCAACCCCTGCTGCCCCAGCACCATTGCCACAATCCACCCCACATAGCCCTTTTTTTTTAGTTGAAATTACACAGTGATGTCATCCTTTAATTTGGCCCTGACAGAGCCCTTTTCCCCTTCCAGCATGCTTTTTAGGAATTAGCTACATTACTCCAACCATTAAGGGGTCTGGTGGGTGGGTTTTTTAGTAGACCACTGAGACCTTGCCAAGTCTCATTGCCAATTATGTGGATTTTCAGTGTTTTCTATTCTAATTTCTTCTCCTTTTGAGCTCTGCTGAAGACTCTTCTTCCACAACACTGAACTACACTGTTTTCTGCTGATGAAGGTCACCTTTGACTTTAGGGCTTATAGCTGAATCGGCTCCAAATAGCTCGGCTCAAATGGCGGCATTTGGCAAGTTTTGTTAAAGGGTTTAATGAAGTCTGGAAGGCGAACTGTCTGTGTGGGAGTGTTAAGCTCGTAAGACCCAGAGCAACGTGGCCCCTCAGTAGGGTTACCTCACCGTCCTCCAGAGGAGGCCTGGAGTCCAGGCTACAGAGATCACTTCCCCTGGAGAAAATGGCAGCTTTGGAGGCTGAACTCTACAGCAACACATCCTTGCCGAGCGCCTTTCCCCAGGCTCCACCCCCAAATCTCCAGGAATTCTCCAGTCCGGAGCTGGCAACCCTATCACAGGGTCCGGGATGCCATTTTGCATGCACTGTTTTATAATCAGATGATCAAAATAAGGTTGCCAGCTCTGGGTTGGGAAATACATGGAGATTTTGGGGGTGGAGCTTGGTGAGGGCGGGGTTTGTGGAGGGGAGGCGCCTCAGCAGGGTATAATGGCACAGAGTCCACCCTCCAAGGCAGCCATTTTCTCCAGGGGAGCTGATCTTGTTTGCCTAGGGGAGCGGTGGCATAGTGGGTATATCCCACTGTCTTAACATCCGAACTGTGTTAGTTCGAGCCCCGCGCTGGTATGAGCAGCCAGCCTGTTGTCCCCAGCTCATCGTCCACCCAGCTATTTGAAAGCTTCGGCGAGTAGATAAAATGGGAACCACTCCTTAGAAAGGGTGGACACACCAATCTCCCTTGTGGGAGGGTGTTAGCTGACGGTCGGGACGTCCTGGTCAAGGTTCGGAAAAGGTGGAAGAACTTCTCGGCTACAAAAACCCCTGCAGTGGATGTTTCCGGCCAGGCGGTGGCAGTGTGGCGATTTGACATATGGGTCCTGAAGCCTTGTCAACAAGCAGCCGTTCGGAAAATGACTGAGCCAAGCCAGAAGACGTTTACACCATGCAGTGACAGCATGTGCAATTAAATGAATATATGTTGTCTTCCCTATCCCCTGTGAACATTGTTAGTCCCCTGTCTAAAATGTGTAACTGTACATCGCTTTGAGCTCACTGGGGAAAGTGATTAATAAATTGAAAGTATTATTGTTGTTGTTGTAGTAAAAGTGGGAGATCTCCAGGTGCCACCTGGAGGTTGGCAGCCCTAATCAAGGCATATGAGACACTGCGAGGTTGTAGACAAGAACTTCGAAATGTCTTATAAGGCAGAATTTCAGTCCAAATTTGTATCAGAGCAGCACAGGAAGAAGAGATTTAAGCCTTTAGACTCCTTCAAACTCCCCCTGCCATGTTTTCTAATAGAAACCACCCCCACCCCCCATTTCTTACAGTCCTTGAAAGAAAAAAGGCAGGCCCATAACAGATGCCTGTCTTTTTCCTTTAAAGGACTAACAAGAATGGTGGGGTCCTATTTTTAATTAGTGAAACCATTCAAGGGGGGAAGGGTGAAACCCTCTCTTGCCTCCCCTCAGGGACCCAACAAAGCTATCATTGTCTGATAAAAAGGAACAGAGATTGAGTTCGACATTGACACTAGGTGAATCTCAGTCTCAGGTTTAGGTTTCTTGTTAACTAAATATTTATGTATATCAAGGGGCAAGTAAACTCAGTGAAAGCTGAAGGGAACCGTTGGCTCAGATCAGTTCAGGCCTGTAGTGTGGTGGGGCTTTTGGGGGCTCCGCCCCTTTCTTAAAGGCACAGCCCCACAAGTATTTCTCCTATAACTGCTTCCCCCCTCAAGTCATTTAGAACCGGTTTTTTAAACGTGTGTGCTCCTTTAAGCAGAGTGGGGTGCTGTAGTTAACTAATTCCTGCACTGAGCAAGGGGGTTGGAGTAAGTGACCTCTAGGATCCCTTCAGATGCTGTGTCAAGAAACTGGTCTCCTTTAAGAGAGTTTTCCTGCCTAAGTGTTAGCTTTCTTGACTATAGAAGTCATCACCCCCACCTGCCGGCTTGTTATCAGAACTGTTGCTTAGGCTGGCAGAAGTGATTAACTTGCAGCAGCTGAGAAACTGTCATCTAAAGTGGCTGCCAGCTTGCAATTTAGAGATCTGCACTGAGAACTTCAGCCCCACCAGGGGGAAAAAATTGCCCCACAAGCCACAAAGTCCTGGCTACGGGCCTGACTCAGTTACTTCCTGTGCTGCTGTTCTACCAGTTATGGCTTCAGTTGCTGACTGTGTGGCTTCCCCTCCCACAGTTCTCCGGTCCCCCTTTCCACATGACATATGAGTCTCTAGGCTGATCCGCTACAGATCCCTCATTGCCAGCTGCCCTCTTGCCTGCCTGGCGCTGGGCTTTGGAAAGCCACAACCTCCTGCTTCCTCAGGCTGGCAGGAACAGTCTTCCTTTTCTCAGTTGTGCCTTTTCCCACTTTCCTCCTTCCACAGTGGGTGATATGGTTGTTTCTCCTGGGAGTAGAGTCATGGCTGCATTCAAGCAGCTCTGCCAGGCCTATCTTCCTTCACTATTGCTTTACCTCACCCTACAGGTGTCATAAAAGTCAACACCAGCCTGAGCATGGAACGACTCAAAGAAACAGTATAAGATTGGAAAACATGGCGAGAGCTGGCCTGTAGAATTGCCAAGAGTCGGACACGACTGAATGACTAACAACAACAACAACAGGTGTCATAGAAACACAGAGCTGGAAGGGACACCCAAGAGTCATCTAGCCCAACCCCCTGCACAATGCAAGAAATTCACAACTACTTCCCCTCCACGCTCCCAGTGACCTCTATGCCCAGAGGAAGGGGGGAAGACCTCCAGGATCCCTGGGCCAATCTGGCCTGGAGGAAAATTCCATCCTGACCTCAAAGTGGGGCATATATAAGAAAGGGCCACAAGAGCCAAGCACTGGCTCATCCCTTCCTGCAGCCTCCCTCTCACGATTTGCCTACATTCATAGAATCAGCATTGCTATCCAATGGCCATCTAGCCTCTGCTTTAAAACCTCCAAAGCAGGAGAGCCCACCACCTCCTGAGGACATCTAGGACATCTACGACTATGCAGGGACAACAGAAGACCCTAAGCTCATGAGCCATCCAGGCTCACAAAGGGGTCCTTTGCCCTTCCTGATTTCTGTATCAGCTACAGAGCATCCAAGAGCATCCAAGCACTCGTTCTGATGGCCAGCCGTCTCGCCGATAACGCAACGCCTCTTATTTTCCCAGCTCTGCTGCCGTGCTGCGCAGGCGTCTCAAGAGGAGAACTCACCTAGGTGAAGCAGAAAGGACAGGAGGAAGCTGTTCAGGGCCATGTCTGCTGGAATGCCCTTTCCATGCAGGAACCCGGGGCTGGAACTTCTGTCCAAGGGATCCTAAGAGGGAAAGGACAACATCATCTATCAACAGAAGCAGCAGTGCGTGGTTCCCAGATTCTCCCAGAATGCTTTGTATCACACGTTATATAGGGGTCAGTCAGACAACCATTTATTGAATGCTAACTTTACCCAGGGCTTTTTTTTGTAGAAAAAGCCTAGCAGGGACTCATTAGCATAATAGGCCACACCCAAGAGCTGAAACTCATTAGCATATTAGGCCACACCCTGACACCACGGCTAATTAGCATAGTAGGGCGCAGCCCCGTGTTGCCAGAAGTGTGGTCATCCAGCCGCACCCACCTTTTGCTTCTTATTCTGTTTACCTTGTTTGTTGTCAAAACCCAGGGCCTTTTTTTTTGTAACAGGGACTCCTTTGCATGTTAGACCACACACAACCTAATGTAGCCAATCCTAATGAGTTTCTGCTGTTGGGTGTGGCCTATTATGCTAATAAGTTCCTGCTGGGTGTGGCCAACTCAGGAGCCAGCTGGAACTCCGTTCCTGTGCGTTCCTGCCCCAAAATAGCCCTGACTTTACCCCAGTTTTCCCTTTGCTAAATATGCCCTCTGAGTTGCCCTATAAGGGATGCCTGGGGACACCTCAGAACTTCAGCTCATCTCCAGACTACGGAGTCTAGTTCCCCCGGAGAAAATGGGTGCTCTGGAGGATGGACCGGGGGGGCATTGTACCCCACTGGGGTCCCTGTCTGTCTGAGGCTCCATCCCTAAATCTCCAGGAGTTTCCCAAGCTGGATCTGGCAACCCTACCCCCTACCCCCTGCCGGTGGGCAAGGGGGGACCTGGCCACCTGGTGCCCTGCTGATAGGTCAACTAGACTTCAAGGTGGGTGTATGGATGCCAGCGACCCATCTCTCCTTCTCCATTCCCTTAGTAATGCCTTGCAATTGACATGGGCATTCCATATATTTTTATCCTACTCTTCAACCTGGAATGGGCTTGAAAAAGTCTTCGTGGGAATCAAAGACTCCATCGCATAATCGCCTTTTTGTTTATTTAGAAAATAGTTCTATCCTGCTCCTCCAGAAACCTGCTAACAAAGTCAAGACCATCAAATAAAATAATAAAAACAACAGGAATCATCAGTAATATAAAAAGCCAGGGACATAAAAATAGTAACCCCTATAAAAAAACATTCAGCAGTCTAAAATGATATCCACAAGAGCCTTCACATGACAAGCGGGTGACCAAAACAGCAAAAAAGATGGAACTCCTCAGATAAAAAAGAAAAAAATTTTGGCTTGATGCCTGAAGGTAGGACAGGTAGGACATCACAGCGGAAGGACATTCCGAAGGCAAGGCGGCAACCCTGCAAAAACCGTGTCTCTGCTTCTCACCCACATAGGGTTGCCAGGCATGGCTTCCAGCAGAAGACGGGGAATGGAAACATGAGTGGGCGCACCATCGGCGAAGGCATGACATCACTTCTGGGAAAACCCCAGAAGCGAGGTCACACCTCTCTAGGTATTGCTGGTAAAAACCATAGAGAGAAGACTGATGTCACTTCCAGTTTTTTCCCAGAAGTGATGTCATGTCTCTACAGCAATTTTTTTTAGGTCAATTGTCTCCCACCAGCTGTGGCCGTCGGAAACAGGAGCCCTGTGGCAGTCTGCTGACCCTGCCCCCGCATCACCTCTGCAGGCAGAAGCACAGACGGCTGGGTTTGGAAAACGGAACTTAAATGGAAAGCTGGAACAGCGTGGTTGGAAGCTGGGCTCTTTTTGTAGAAAAAGCCCAGCAGGAACTCATTAGCATAACAGGCCCCACCCAACAGCAGAAACTCATTAGCATATTAGGCCACACCCCTGACAGCACAGCTCATTAGCACATTAGGCCGCACCCCCATGTTACCAGAAGTGTGGTTATCCAGCCACACCCACCTTTTGCTTGTTATTCTGTTTACCTTGTTTTGTCGCAGGAACTCCTTTGCATGTTAGGCCACACACCCCTAATGTGTGCCAATCCTAATGAGTTCGTGCTGTTGGGTGTGGCCTATTATGCTAATGAGTTCCTGCTGGGCGTGGCCAACTTGGGAGCCAGCCTGAACTCTGTTCCTGTGCGTTCCTGCCCAAAAATAGCCCTGGTTGGAAGTGGTCCTTGAAACACCTCTTCCCCAAGCTACTGTTGCACTCTAGCGACGTTCACCACTGGGTTGTCTTGTCCACACAGGAAAAGGCAGCCTGGAACAATGGCTAGAGTACAACGCTAGCGCAAGATTCAACCCCACACCCAAAGGGATGTGACATTGTCCCTTTCAGCCATGGCAGCAGCAACCATTGAACTGGCGAGTGAGGGTCTGGGAAATGCTGAGCAGGATGACATCACGTCACAGGTCTCTTTTACTAGACACTGCAGTGGGGATGAGTGTGGGGGACGGCATGGGTCAGCGGCAGCCCCCACACCCACAGAATGTTTAGTTATGCCTCTGGCGAAGAGAACAATTGGCCCATTCCTTTGCTACCTGGGGTTTCTGCCCAGTACGGATGGGTGGTGAAATTCTCATCAGTTTCCAGCATACTCATCTCCTGCTATGATTATTCTAGGTATCATCTGTCTTTTTCCTGCTTTTGTAACTACACTCTCTTCTAATTTTGTAATCGTATTCCTATTGCTATGGATGTCTTAGGATGCGTGATTGCTTTGGGGTTTTTCCCCCTTCCCCTTTCTTTTATACTTTAATCTGCATTGCTTGCTTTGTCTTATAATTCTGCAGTGTTAATAACTAAGCCCTCTCTGGAACAATATTCCGAGAAGGAACCTCTGAGCTTGTAGGCCAGGCACAGATCTTGACAAAAGGGCAATATCATGCACGTATAAAGGACAGGGTAATTTAACATGGGCCTGGCAAGGTGGGTGAAATTCATTTCCAGATATGTAAGAAGTTAAGTCATTAAGGTATAAATTGAATAACAGCGGAGCAAGGATGCATCTTTGCTTAACTCCTCTGTTCAGTGGAGTATCCCTGGTCAGTTCGCCCACAGGACCACCCCCTTTATTTAATCAGGACGTCCTCTCTCCAGAAGCAAAATCATCCTGATTACTTAGAGACGAAGACAAACAAACTACTCTGCGTGTGGCAAAATTTCTAGCAGCTGTCGTCCAATCACATGACAATGTTTGCAGTAGCAACCTTTAAATTCTTCCATGTCTTCCTGAGGAGCGAGGTTTATTGTGGGATGAGGGTTTGCTGTTTATGACTCCGGTTGCAAAAACAGTACAGACAATAACAATAATTCTGCAATCTGACTCCTACTGCGTTATTCATTGGATATCTCACACTGTATGACTGCATTGCTTTTTTTTTTTTTTAAGAAAACTTTAATAATCCTTCCTGAGTTTCAGCAAAAAAGGAGGGCTGGAAATAAAGTGAGTAAACAAATAAATACCACGAACAACAGACTTATGTGGTTCCATGCACACCACAGTAAGTTGCCACTTGAAAAGTGATTGTCTTCATTCACTTATACCTATGGGTAGAACAAGATACAATCTGAACAGATTTTTGTCTAACTTCCTTGATTTCTGTTTATGATGGCAAAGGACAGCCCCCCAACTTTTTGATCCTGTGGGCACCTTTGGAATTCTGACCTGGCATGGTGGGCACAGCCACAAGATGGCTGCCGCAAAATGGCTGCCAAAGCTTACCTTCAGTCACACATTTGAAGCCACTGCCCAAGTAATGTTTTTAAAAATCCACACAGCCAATCAAACCTCCAATGGCCAAGCCAATCAGAAGCCTTGTTGGGCAAAAGCCCCACCTGGCCCTACCCACTTTATAAAAACACTTGGAGATCAGTTGTAAACGTTGGGAATCTCCAGGTCCCACCTGGAGGTTGGCAAACATATGCCAGTATAAAGATCTCAGGGTTGTGTGAACTACAGGCAATCTGAAATCACTTTTTTTCCCTGGGAGTTTGGTAAAACACATACTCCTTGGTCACCCAGATCCCAGTGTGCAAATATTCTTTGGCCTCCACTTCAGGGTCCTTTTACAGAGTGAAAAGGCCCAGGATCTTTAAGAAATAGCATGACCTATAAAGTTGCAGGCATCAAACCTGCTTCATAGTTGGGTGAGAAATGCAATGCACAATTCACAAGCGCTGCGTTTGTGTGAGGGTTATATAAACAAGGCCTTTTGTCATTCTGCGTGTGTGCGCTTCCTTTCCGCCTCCTCCCTCCCTCTCTCTCTCTCTCTCTCTCTCTCTCTCTCTCTCTCTCTCTCTCTCTCTCTCAGTCCTCCTCCTTGGGCTTGTGGTCGGCTGGCTCTGCTCACGTTCTTGTGTGCAGCTGGGGTTTTGTGCAGGGGCCTGCTGGGAGTTGATAGAAAGGTTCTGCCGCCTCAGAGCACCCGCCAGGTCTTCCTGTGGATTTCCCTCTCCCCACACCGCCCTCCAGGGCAGCAGCCCGTGAACAATCTCCTTGCTGCTTCCACGGCGTTTTTTTTTCTTTTTGATAATCTGAACACTGCATATTAGTTTTGTCAGGCAGACGGTTTATGCCTGTCCCTCTCCACAAAATAACAATCACAGAACTGAAGCGGAATGGCAACATCAGGAGATTTTCTAATTCCGAAGCTGATGTCCCCTGAGAAATGACGAATGACATAAAGGCACAGATTCAAAGTAGAAATTCATGCCGGGCAACTTACTGACTGCCCCCAACTGTGTTTAATTGTTAAATGCATTGCATTTTGCCCATCGCTTAATGCTCCAAATGTCAATACAATAACCCTTTAAAGGCAGGTCTATGTATTGCCCCAATACGCAGACTGGAAGGATGAAACTGAGAGAGGGCAGCCTGCCTTGGCAGAGGCATGATTTGAATTTGGGACTTCCTAGTTCACAGTTTAGAGTAGATTGTGTGTGTAAAATGGCGTCAAGTCGCAGCCTGGTGGAACAAGCTACCAATCGCGACCAGGGC